ATCTCAATTGAAAGTCTATATTGAACATTTTTCAAGTGCAACTCAACTGTGTCATTATTCTTGTTTCTATTCTCCATGCCCTTCCTGTTTTCTCCCAGCACTATTCACTCACATCTATCTCGTGCTACACATCATTCTTACCTGGGAATCTTTTAAAACATACCCATACCTGGGCTTTATTCCCATGACTTTCACTTAATTTGTCTGGGGTGATATCTTGGCATAGATAAAAATGTTCTAAAGCTCCAGAGGTAATTGTAATATGCAGTCAAGGTTGAGAAGCCCTACTTTATGTAATACTGATTGTACTGAATTATTATTATTTGTGAAACTTGATCTCTCACTGGTGTTTTCAGCACTTTAAATCAGAGAATGTAACTGATTCATACGTGAATTCCAATGCCTGACGAATCTGAACTTGTATACCAAATACTCTCTGGGGAACTCCAAAAGATCCAAATTTCAAGGGTTATCTCTTTATCAAGGAAATCACAAACTGTTATAGGAGTATCACACAAGAACAAACCAAATACATCACAACCCTGACCTAATAAGGCTATAAGGGGAGTAAAAATAAAATATTAGGAATAGGAAGTCAAATCAACTTGGGAAATCAGGAAGACATAATGGAAAGGGTAGAATCTCAGGACGGATGATGCATGGAATTTTGAATAGGATTTTGTGTATGGTTTTGACAGAAAGAAACAGAAAATAGGGGGAAGATGAAAACAGAAGCATTTCTTATAAAAGGGAACTGAGTAAGGAAAGAAGAAGAGGTGGAAAAGTCTGAGGTCCATTAAGGAAACAGTTTATATAGCATTTAAGAAGCAACTATAGGAGAAGGTAGTGACTGATGAAAGTAGAAAGTTGGTGGAGCGAGATCACAGATGCTTTGAATGCCCAGTGGATGACTGTGAACCCCCTGAAGGTTTCTGAACAGAGAAATACACTCAGACACTTGTTTTTCTAAAAAGATCACTCTTCTTGTTAATTATCTTGTAGCTTTTAAAATGCATTTTTATGTGATCTAAACTACATTATATGAACACTATAAGCGAGGCTTGCTCTTTTTAAAATATTTTATTCATTTATTTATTTGAGAGAGAGAGACCAAGAACATGATCACAGGAGGGGGAAGGAGTAGAGAGAGAGGGAGAAGCAGTGCCAAGTGCGAGCCCAATGTGGGGCTTCCCCCCAAGACCCTGAGATCATGACCTGAGCTGAAATCAAGAATCAGAGTTTAACCAACTGAGCCACACAGGCGCCCCAGTAAGCAAGGCTTTCTTATACTAAAACCCTTCTCATTATGTATTCAGTGTATTCATCAAAAGACAGATCCCTGAGGAACAGACACATAAATTACATGTGTTCTCACAGGACAATAGTTCATTAGCGTAGCTGAGATGAAAATAAATGGAGGTGAGGTAGTGTAACAGCTATGATCGATCCCTTAAAAAATTGGCCTAAAATATTTGACTATCTTTTGGGGAAGTAGCAAAAGAACAGAGCTGAAGAAAATTCCGTCACCTAATGTGCTTTTCTGCACTGCCAAATGTAAATAAGTGTGTGAGTCTAAGTTACTCATTTCATATAGTCATATTTACTCCTGTTATTGCTTTTGACTGACAAATGCAATATTTGTTGTTGAAAGAGTCTACAGAAAAATAATTTGCATAGCATGATGTCACTTTATGCTGGAAGTCTTTGTTTATATCACCTCTTAACTTGATGGACTGGCTGAAACCATGCTTATATGTGTATTGCCTCAGCAAGCCGTATTTGTCCTGTATCACTGCCCTATGGAATACTTTTGAGATTCACACCATACTGTTTTTTAATTAAAAGACTTCATTGCATTTTATCAATAAAGTCATTAGTAAAATAATGGGATAATAACACATATGAAAAACCTAAAGCAAATTAATGTTTATAAGCATTGGATGCTCTTTTTCCTTTTATTTTAAATTTGATCCTAAAAGTGTGTGTGTGTGTGTGTGTGTGTGTGTGATTATAGGTATATAAACATCCCAGTGAAAGGTGAGGAATAGTAAAAAATTCAGATACTCATGGAGATATTTAAGACTCAAAAAATATTATTCAGAATCTAATCACACAACTCAACATTTTCTTTAATAGTATAGTAGCATATAGTAATATATTAGGATTTTATGAAGTTACACAGTTAGGTTCCATGTATCATCATATGCCAACTCTTTATATGCTCAACTAGATTTTATGTGCCCTGTGGACAGTTTTCAGTCTTTTAACTGTGTTATAAACTCTAACATTTGATTGAGAAAAACAAATAGATTAGATGAATTCTCAAGATTAGAGACTTCCAGTTCCAGGCAAGATGGAGTAAATATAGTCTATTTTACTTCTCTAATTACAAAAAAAAACCACTCTAGACAAAACCTGTAAGTCATTTATCAGAAGAATCTAAGAGGTGGAAAAATGAGGGCAGTTTGACTGGGTGCTTTGGGACTCAAGGAATAACATGACAGTGAGTTCCATAGTTTTTTGTTTTTTGTTTTTTTTTTTTCTTGTCTCATATCCCAGTGATGCAAAATGCTAGGTAAAAGTGGCATCCAAGAAAAGCCAAACAACTAGTAAAGGGTGGCCAAACAGAACAGAAAAGTTTTACTCATACTTGTCTATTCTGTGGGTGATATCAGAAAAATGGCAAGTTGCTCCCCCACTTCAATATTGGTGCAGCAAGGGGTCAGTGAGAAAAGCCCCTCCCTGGTACAGTACCTGGACAAAAACCTGTATTCCACTCCCATCCCATTTCAGCAAAGGGATGGCATCCTTTCCCCATGAGGTCTGTGATAACTGGCTGCCAGCCTCCATGAATTAAATAGGAGCTCCTTTCCCCTCAGAGCCCCTGGTTGCAATTCTGATTTCTACTCCCTGCTGAAATAATAAGGCAACAGAATAACTTTCTGCAGCAGAAGTTTTGGGGGAGGCGGTGACTATTAAGAAATCATCTGAGGGAGTTCCCCGGTGGTAATGGAATAGTCCTTGATGATTATTTTGATGATAGTTACTCTAATCTACACCTGTGATAAAATTTCATAGAATTCTATCTATGTCCTCTCAACCAACCAACAAAACACAAAAATGAAACCTGGAGTAATCTGAATAAGGATTATATCTAAATTAATAGTACTGTAACAAAGTCCATTTGTTCTCTCTCTTTCCTTCCCTTCCCTCTCCTCCCCTTTCTTGCCTTCCTTCCTTTCCTCCCTACCTCCCTCCCTTCCTTCCTTCCCTCCTTCCATGCTTGTGTGTTTTTTTTTAATGAGAGAGAAAGAGAGAGAGTGAGCGAGCATGTGAGTGGGAGAGGGGTAAGCAGTACAGAGAGAGAGAGAGAGTGCTAATCTTAAACAGGCCCCATGCCCAGTGTGGAATGGAGTGCAGGGCTCATCTCACAACCCTGAGATCATGACCCCAGCTGAAATCGAGAGTCGGAAGCTTATCGGACCTGAGCCACCAGGCAACTCCCAAAGTTAATTTCTTTAAAACAAGAAAAAACATATAGCTATATTATTAGTTTATATTTAATATAATAGTATATTACTTATTCAATTCTAACTTACTTTAAATAATTTTTTTTTTTTTAAGAGAGAGACAGTGTCAGCAGGGGGAGGGGCAAAGGGAGAGGGAGAGAGAGACTCTCAAGCAGATTCCTCCCTGAGCATGGAGCCCAAGGCAGAGCTCCACCTCAGGACCCTGAGATCATGACCTGAGCTGAAATCAAGAGTCAGAAGTTCAACCAACTGACCCATCCAGGTGCCCCAATTTGAACGCTTCCAAATTTTTGAATGCTTTCTTCCTGAACCTCTGGACACTGAATAACAAATGTGTTACGTGATAAAACGTTTTAGAAAATTCTGTTTTTGCCACTCACATTTTCTAATACTATTACTAAACCAACTATGACTAAGAATAACTATTTTCCCCTAATTTTCAAAATTTGGGACTATAATCCAAGAAGAGTAATGACTTGAAAAGGAAGGGAAATTTACCCTTCATACCTGAATAACACTCTTGATGGTTTACATGAATATACGCATATTACAGGATAAACTCAGTATGTGGGGGTCAGTATGTGGGACTGAACTACCGATGCAATATTTTAAAATAACTGAACACACAAAAAATTCAAGTATAATAAAATTTTAAGTGACAGTGATAATACTTTGGTTTTTGTGTTATGCCTTGTCCCTAAGGAATACAAGATTACTGTTTTAATCTCACCATTCAACAGAGTTCTACATTGATGTCTCTTTTTCAAACGACACAATTAAATGATAGGCAGTTATGTGCCTGGCCTTCAGCCCCAATGGAAATCACTGGTATGCGGGGTGCCTGGGTGGCTCAGTGGGTTAAGGCCTCTGCCTTCAGCTCAGGTCACGATCCCAGGGTCCTGGGATCGAGCCCCGCATCGGGCTCTCTGCTCGGCAGGGAGCCTGCTTCCCTTCCTCTCTCTCTGCCTGCCTCTCTGCCTACTTATGATCTCTCTCTGTTAAATAAATAAATAAAAATCTTAAAAAAAAAAAAAGAACCAGCTTCTTTAAAAAAAAAAAAAATCACTGGTATGGTCAGAGTCATAATTGGGACTCATGCTCTCCATCAAGTGTCTTGGGCTTCACAGTTAAAGTAGATCATTTTCAACTAAATCTCTACATGAATACCATTCCATTGAATGAGCCATAGTTGATACCAGAATATATCTTATTTTTTGGTAGCATGGTTTCCAGAAGATTTTTCTGCCAGCATGGTGCTACTCTATAAGCAACACACTCAGGCATTTCATGTATTCTAATTTCATTTCTGTTCTAATATTTTCTTGGCCATTTGACAACTTTAAGGTACTTAATGGGTTGGAGATGTCAAGAACTATTCATTGCGATGGACCAAGCTTCTTCATCCTAACCTTATAAACAAACTTTCCCAAAGGGAAGATAATATCATTAATGCATCGTGTCATCACTTACTTTCTTCTTTCCATTTCAAATCGATGGAGTAGTTTCCGAAGACCACCATTCTTAAATCCCTGAAAATGGGCAGCTGGGGCTCCCACAGTGATGACATCGTAGAGAGCATCTGGAACAGGAATGGACAAGGAGATGAACACTCTGCAAACATTTGTCTCCAGCATGCTATCTGCATTGAAGCATACACACTGCGGGAAGTTTGAGAAATTATTCTGTTTAATTTTGCAGGAATAACTATGAACTCTCATCTCAAGGGGGCAAGAGGAGCTAATCAATCTTTCTAAAAGCCACCTGTGCACCTAAACAAGTTAAAATATTTCTTTGATTTATGACTACATCTTAATTATATGCTACTGTGTGGAACAGTATGTTCCCTCATTCTTCTATATACTTACTGAGATAACGTGTTAATTGGTCTTTTGTGTATTTTACTTTATTGAGTTTTGCATCATTTAATTTGCAATCATATTGAAATTGAACAATAATGAACAATCTTTACAGAGAAAATTTACAGAGGAAGAACGAAAATATTAATTCATCTTGGCTCAAGGGCAGAACAGTACTAGTACATTTAAAAAAAATCTATACAGAGTAGTTTCCTGTCTGTGTATACTGAATCTTACACAGTTTTGAATGCAAGCTTTTGCAATTTTCTTAGATGACATGGAAAGAATACATAAAATGTCTCTAGATCTATTTTCCACCAAGATTTTTTGTTTTTTTTTTTAATAAAAAATCCATACATTTAAATTGAAACTCAATCCTTTGATCTTGAAAGCCATCAAGTTTGGTACATATTAAGTTTATTGCTTCAAAGCACAGCATCATTTTTACCTTCTAATGAAAAGTATCCCCATAAGAAGGAAGACAGAGTGATCATCTCTTGTTAAACTACATTTTATTTGAGAAACCTAATTTCATAGTAGATCCTTTCCAAATTGATTTTGGTATTGACACTGGTTGTTTTTCAGTTCCCATTTACAGGGAAAACATAAATTATTTTATTAGCTTCAGGTAAACACCATAATTTCTTTATACTGGTTCAGTCCAAAGGCATCTAAAATATTTTTCTTAATAAAAAATGTCTTCAAGTGAAAGACCTCAGGAGAACTGAGAGAACTCAAGGTCACACAAACAAAACAAAACAATACAGAAAGCAAAAAAAAAAAAAAAAAAAAAAAACCCAGAATGAAACCCAAATCAACCTATCAATAAGGCACTTATTGAACAGCCATCAATAGATGGTTAGAGTGGTAATCTCTTGCCCTTTTAAAAAATCACTAATAAACTAGAAGTTAGCTTTTCTTAATATAGCAGAATATTAGACTTGCATGAATTTAAAGACTTCATCATCCGAGAGATTTTAATCTAGGGTTATGAAAATAGTTTCGGGAAAGTCCTAAGTATGTGCAAATTGTATAAGTATGTCTGTTCTACTTCATGGAAAAGGGTCACAGATTTCTCAAATGGTCATGAAAGCACCCAAAATTTCCCAAAACAAAATTCTAGTCTACCTTCATTTATCTGATGAGAACTCTGAGAACCTTGAGAAATGACCTGCTTTGTCTGAAGCGCCAAAGACCTTACACCCACAGTCTTCTGACATCTAATCCAGGGATGGAGAGCCAGGGGTTTAAATTAGTGACTGGAACCTAGCAAAACACCTGACCACAAACAAGTTGCTAAGGCCCTTTGCAGGATCTTAGAAGAAGAGGCTCATATACAGGAAGAACCCCAAACTTAAGTTGCACTAGCTTCCTAGTGAATCTGTCTCTTCAACCCACATATAGTTTCAGCATTTCCAAAACTACTTTCTAGGAGCAGAAATTTTCTCTTTGTTCTTCCACTCTGCTCAGGGGAATTTTAGTCACCTATGAAGGAACAATGAAACTTGGAAGCAGCAGGTAAAGGAAGAGAAGCAAGATACTCAAATATTGTCTACTCTTCATAATAAAGAGCTGATTATTTTTAAATCTAAAAGAAAGCCTGTGTGTTTCTTGAATCCAACTATAATGAAGAACTTCCAAAGTTATAAACAAGTTCTTTCATATCCAAAGTTCTGACTTTTACTTGTTTCCTTTTTTTTTTTTTTTTTTTTTTTAATAAACCATGCTCTTTCTCATGGTCTTTTTTTTTTAGATTTTTTACTTATTTATTTGACACACAGAGAGAGATCACAAGTAGGCAGAGAGGCAGGCAGAGAGAGGAAGGGAAGCAGGCTCCTTGCTGAGCAGAGAGCCAAACACAGGGCTCAATCCCAGAACCCTGGGATCATGACCCGAGCTGAAGGCAGAGGCTTTAACCCACTGAGCCACCCAGGCGCCCCTTGTTTCCATTCTATTTCCTGTTTATGAGCTCATCCATGTTGTAGGTGTTCAAAAATGTAAATTAATAAACAAATATTCTGAGGCTCATTTCAGTTTCTCTTATATGTCCTTATAGTTCATGTAAGGTATTATTTTTTTAACTGAAGAAATAAAAAAAAAACTATATATACTATCCAGAAAAAAAAAAACATATTGGAATCTGAAATATATATATCTCAATGGGATGAGGATGAATACATATCCATCCATGGACCATATTCTATAAAAGAACAAAGAGAATTTATGATAATTCACATGCAAAAGAATGAAATCAGACCCTTGTCCTATGGCATGCACAAAAATCAACTCAAAAATGGATTAAAGACTTAGACATAAGACCTAAAAGTATAAAACTCCTAGAAGAAAACAGAGGAAAATTTTATGATGACTGGTCTTTACAGTGATTTCAGAGATGCGACACTAAAAGCATAAGCAACAAAAACAAACAGAACTACGTCAAACTGAAAAACTTCTGCATAATTAAGGAAGCTATAGACAAAAAAGACAACATACAGGAGAGGAGAAAATATTGGCAAATGATATATCTGATGAGACGTTAATCTCCAAAATATATAATGAACTCCTATAACTCCATAGTAAAACAATTAATAACCTGACTAAAAAATGGGCTAAAGGCTTGAATAGACAGACATTTTGTCAAAGAAGACATACAAATGGCCAACAGATACATGTCAAAATGTTAAAGGTTATTATTCATCATCAGGAAAATGCAAATCAAAACTACAATGAGATACCATCTCACACCTGTAAAAATGGCTTCAATCAAAAAAACAAAAGACAGTGAGTGTTAGCCATGATGTGGACAAACTGGAATCCCTGCACAGTGTAGAACTATCATGCTTCAGCAATACCAGTTCTGGGTATTTATACAAAGGAATTGAAATCAGGATCTCAGAGAGAGAGAGGAGCGCCTCTACGTTCATGTAAGCACTATCCATAATAGGCAAGATGTGGAAACAACCTAAATGCCCATCAGTGGGTGAATGGATAAAGAAAATGTGCTGTATATGTATAATGGGATACTATTCAACTTTAAAAAGAAAGGAACTTCTGTAATATGTGACAATATGGACAATCCTTGAGGTTACTAAGTGACATAAGCCACAGAAAGACAAATAATGCGTGATTCTACTTGTATGAGGTATCGAGGCTAAATTGCTGTCAATTGTTTCTATAAAATTTGAATTCAGTTTTATTTTTTATCTGTTTTTTAAATTTGAATTAAGTTTTAATATGCTATCTAAGATAGGAAGAAATACAGAATTCCTTTAAAAATGTCTCGCCACATGAAAAAAAGCAAGCCCAGCAACTCTGTGAGATGAATATGTAAATTAGCTTAGCTATAGTAATCATTCACTATACATATGTATGCAAAATAACATGTTATATATTTGAAAATATACATAATTTTTATTAAAATACAAAAACATATTTATTGTTTAAATACTTTTGAAAATTTTTATTTATTTATTTATTTTTTTAATTTTATTTTTTTAAACATATAATATCTTTTTATCCCCAGGGGTACAGGTCTGTGAATCGCCAGGTTTACACACTTCACAGCACTCACCATAGCACATACCCTCCCCAATGTCCATAATCCCACCCCCCCAACCCCACTCCCCCCATTAACCCTCAGTTTGTTTTGTGAGATTAAGAGTCACTTATGGTTTGTCTCCCTCCCAATCCCATCTTGTTTCATTTATTCTTCTCCTACCCCCTGAAAATTTTTATTTTTGAGATAATTTTGGATTTCCAGAGTTGTTGCAAAATTAGAACAGAGTTCTGTATACCCTTCACTATGCTCCCTATGTTAATATCTTATACAGTCAGAGATTATCAAGTCAGAGATTATCACTACGAAATTAATCTTGTACTATAACATTAAATAAATAGATAATATGTTAAAATTAGTTTTTCCACTAATACCCTTTGTTCTTTCAGGATCCAGTCCAGAATTCCACATTTCATGTTGCTATCATGTAGTCTTCTCCAATCCATGACAGTTCCTCAGCATTTCATTTTTGACCTTGACACTTTTGAAGAGTACTGGTCCCTCAATTTGGGTTTGTCTTATGTTTTCTCATAAGTAGACTGAAGTTCTGCACTGTTGAGTAGGATACTATGGAAGTGATAGGCCCTTCTCAGTGCATTATAACAGGGAGTATGTTAAGGTGATGTATATTACTTCATGTTAAAGTTGATGCATGGGTCAAAGTGTTGACTGCCACTATCTATAGTTGATTCTTCACTGTAAAGTTACTAAATATTTAGAGAAACATATTTTAAGACAGTACAATATCCAGTTTCTTTTTAGACTTGTGCCCACTAATTTTAGCATCCATTGATATATCTTGCCTGTGGCAATTATTACTGCTATGGTTGAATGGTGATTTCCCATTTCCCTCATTCCTTCCACATTCATTAACTGGAATTCTTTTGGGAAGAATAGTTTATCTTTCTCTTTTAGTTTATATATTCAGCTATCTATCTACCTATTTATTTTTAAATATTTATATATTCATTTTAGAGAAAGAGAGAGAGTAGGGGGAGGGATAGACAGAGAGAGAGAGAATGCTTAAGCAGACTCCCTTCTGCATGTGGAGCCCCACACAGGGCTCAATCCCTAAGACCATGATCTAAGCTGAAATCAAGAGCTGGTGGCTTAACCGACTGAGCCCCCCATGTGCCCCTCAGTTATTTATTAACATCAGTATGGGCT